ATTTGCAATCATTGAAACCATCAATCAGAGTTTTTTGCTATTGATCAGAATTAACGAGTTATGGAACTGGTGAATGTGAAGACTATGATTAGCCCACATAGATATTATTATGAAATATCCATGTACAGTTAATATAGATTTTTTTTATTTCTGGAGGCTAAAGGCGCTCGATCTTTAAGGATGATAGTAAAAGTGGCTATCATATTGAGTACCTATTTACAGCGTTTCGAGATCCAAAAATTGCAAAAAAAAATATGTCATGGGCGTGAGAAACACGCTTCATGCTATTCAGACTCAAATTTAGCGGAGACTCCTTGAATACTCTTCATTTTTAAAACGATTTGAAGTTGCTCATTATATAAAGATAATTCATATGCTATAAGAATCAATCCTTGCTCCGACCATTGAAAATGGGGAGGCACTTTCTATGAGGAACTTCTGGTGTCTTTTAATTTTTTCTTAGAGTTCTCTGTGTCGAGAAGAAAGAAAAATTGGTTGGAAGTTTTTGATATTAGGTCCAATTTCGAGTTCAAAAGGCAAATCAAATAAACTTTAGCATAAAGCTTCTAATAGGCTAATAATAAGCTTATAATAAGTTTCCAATTATTCTTTAAGTAAATTTATTGTCCTTTTATTATTATAGTATGAAACGGTCATATTCGAACGGTTTTCATTGGGGCTTTTTCATTGAATTGTTCCTTCTATATCAGTGATTGTTCTAAAAAAGGTATTTTTAAGAGTAATGAAAGTAGTGAAAACTCTTATATAGGTCTTACATATTTTGATTTTTCGCGGTTTGAATACTGATTTCTTTTTAAGTTCAGTGCATTTCCATTGCTAAAAGGAAAGCAAACTCCACTATCGAACAGCAAAAATGTAAAGGTCACGAACAACGTGAGCGATCGACTTCGAATTTTGAAAATGGAAATTAATTATCAGATTTTTCAGCAAAATAAAAGTTTTGCCTATTGATCCAGCTATCTCAATTTGGATTATTTCCAACAAAAAAATGGCCGTCATAAATTTTTCTACAAATTCAAAGAGCTTTAAGGCCATCTATTTTTTTCTTCGAAATTCAAAAGTTCAAGCCTCTTGAAAAAACAAGTTCATTGCTCTTTTCCAAATGTTAGTTGGCTATGTTTTACACTTACGATCAGTTAAGTGTGTTATTACGAACAGTCTTTTTTCTAACATAACTCGCTAATATAAGTGTTCATTAAAAGTGTTCACTTATTCGAAAACTTCACTATATCATTGGAAATTGCATAGCATCTGTTTTTTGCTTTATTTGTGGTGGCTAGTGTTTGGAGCCTTTTGAGCTTCCGTAGCAGAGTGCTTAGTGTGTGAGACTCTTAGACACCAGGTCGCAGTTTCGAATCTCAGAGGAATCCGATATTTTGCTAATTCGAGGCTTATTTCTAATTTTTTTTATTGCACTTTATAGAGCTGTTTTTGCGTTCTCGCAAGTGTATCAAATATTTCAATATTACATGTTCTCAAATATCACATGTTCTCGCATGTGTTCAATTATTACAATAGTGTTTCAATTACTGCACTAGTGTTTCAATTATTGAACTGGTTTTCAAATACAATAGGTAAAGAATTAGCCAACTAAAATTTCTAGCAGAAAAATCTAGACATTATATGTATCTGGTGCTTTTGCGTAATCGTTTGTAACTCTAATCTTTTTAATTGGCAGAACGAGTAAGTTTAACTGATTTTTAAGGGTCATGAACATAGTGAATAATCTTATATAGGTCTTGTCGATCTGTTTCAGTTTTTTTCAGGAAGTCTTAATTTTGTTAATGCTAAAATTGTATTTTTCGCCGTTTGATTTTTTTTAATCCACTTTATTCTCGTTGTTGAAAGAAAGGCAAATTCCCACTATCGAGCAACAAAAGTGTTGAGATCGCGAATAGCGTCATTGACTTCAAGTTTCGAAAGTGGGTTTTAATTTAGACTTCTGAGCGGAAAAAATTTACTTTTGATCCTGTTTTCTCAAATTAAGCTGATTTATCGAATAAGTTTCAATCAGAACCTTGTTCTCGAAATTCAAATAGTTTGTAAGGCTATTTAATTTTTTGTCATTCCAAATTTGAAGTTTTTCAAAAAAAGCATTTTTTTTCTGTTTCCTTGCGATCATGACTCTTTTTCAACTGTCTGTTGGCTATGTTGATGTTCGGCAGAAAAGGCTCTGAGAGCTAGTAAATTTGGTCAATTACTAAAGAAATGAGATTTTTCTTTTTAAAGTTTTTCCCCCTCAAATGGCTAACATTATCTTATAGTGCATCAAGAATTGAAAATAGCGTGAATCTATATGGACAAAAACTATTCAACATTAAATTTATAAGACCCCTTAATAAATGCTTAATGTTGTAATGTTATTATGCTCTTAACTTTTTGAATGTTTTTACGCTTGCTTTTTCAGGTAACAAAAGACTTTTAACAACAGAATCACTGAATGATTTCATAGATTGGCTGATAATCAATTGAGACTCTGAGCTTCATGTTGTGCGTTTAACCGAGACTAAGGGTCCAAATCATAGGCTTTACTTCGAATCCGGCCTCGAACTTATTTTGTGTAATTAAAAAAAATTGACTTTTGTTATGATTTGAGTAATTTTAACTAAAATTGAAAATCCTTATGGTGTATTAATGTAATAGTGTATTAGTTTTTCACAAATAATTCTTTCGACTGGTTCAAGTTTGTCAAATTCAAAAAATTCTTGAATGGACCCGTCTTTTTTTAAAATTTTGATCTGATCGTAAATATTCGAAGATAAGAAAAGTTTTTTACCCATTTTTCTTATATTTCCTTCACCTGGTTCAAGTTTGAGAAAGGAGTTTTTATGATTCAAAAGTTGCCTGAGAATGGGAGGAGTCTTCGAGGTTTTTGGAAAATATGAAACATGTTGGAGATTGTTTTAGCAGTCATTTTTTGACGCCTGAGCACTGGCTTATGTTTTTGTATCACAAGTGTTGCGAAGCTCTGGTTCGCCTGCGTGAACTTGATTTTGACTGCTTTGTTTTAATCAAATAAAACTGTAGTTGTTTAAGTAAAATTACTGCCCACTTAGTCGTGGTCATGAAGTAAGCGTCAAGAAAAAACTCGCAATTTGTTAACAGAAAGAAAATATTTGCCGACAACTAATACATTTACGAAGTTCCTAAATTTTTGCAGTAGCGGAGAATGCTATGCATATATGATTTTGATGCAGTCTACCTGAATCTAAGGAAACATTCGCTGGCCGTTAAAATTGTATTCGCAATGAAAATTGTAGTTTGGAGTTAGTATTTTAGGCGAAACTTAGCAAATCCAAAAAAAAATCCAGAAGTTGTTTAGGAATTATCTTTTTATATTGTCTCTGTCAGGATTTTGTAATAGCCCAAAAAGCTTTTTTTTTCAAGGAACTGATGTTTATTCGTAATCTATTTTCATAGTTTAGCGGATCGCAGATGGTCTGCTAGGGTCTGACTTTTATACACTAGGTTGCGGAAAGAATCTCCCTTCTGAAGTCAATTCCTATTGAAGAAGTTCTGAAGAAGACGCGGCAGAATCTACTGGAGATGTATGGGTTGTAATTATATTGTGTTTCTTATAAACTCTTTTCTTTGGGTATCGCTAATTTCTGAAATTGATGGTCTTTCCATGACACCAATTTTGAGCTCTTATAGTATTTTAAAGTTACAGAAAGTTTTAGTACTTTAGATTTATTTTAATAGAATACGTCGAAAAAACGGCACCTAATCAGAGCTGAAAATTGTTCAGATAGATAATAAATATTTTTATTTGACCCCGGTGCTTGGTTATACTGATTTCCAGTAGCGTGTTGCCCTTTCTCTCAGTTTTTCTTTCTCACCTAGCGTAAATAAATTTATTTGACTTTGTTGATGAAATTTGTGTATTTGCAAAGACGCCAACTTGAATACAATTTTTGTCATGTTTGATGGTAATTTATTCTGAAAAAAAAAATCATCGATTTTTTCTGTCGCTAAAAGTGAAATAATATCTTATTTTGTGTGAAATACTGCAAGAAAATTTAACACTTAAACTCATTTTCGTTTCTGCTATAGTTACGCTTTTTTTAAAACCTTGTTTTTGTATAAGTTAAGCCCAAAACCCAACTTTAAATTTTTCTTTGAAGCAAAGATTAAAATGATGAGGTTAAAGTATGATAGTTAATACATGAAGATTTCAGTTTTCAGAGTCGATGAAGTAGTTTAGGGTCATATATACACTAGTGGACTAAATTAAGCGCAAATTCATTTTTTATTCTCTTAATTGCTTGTTTTTAATGTCCATTTAGGATCTCATTAACTTCGATTTTCTGCAAATTTTTTATATAGACCTCGAGCAAATGATCAGAACTACCTTCTATAAAGTTATCAATGTTAGGTTCAAAGACTTACCAATGTAACCCAGGTCTGAAAACGCCAGATTTCTTCATTTGCACTAGGTTTTTCAATCCGCGTGAAAGAGTAAGAAATAACGAAGTTTAAATTTTCAGGCTGATATTTCAATTTTGTCGCTAAGAGCGTTTCTTCTCGCATGAACAACTTTTATACTTTGCTCATTCGAGATTGAATTCAATACGATGCAAAACCTAATGCAGATCAGGAAATCTGGCGTTTTCAGACCCCGATTACATTGGTAAGTCTTTGAAACCAAATATCGTTTGGGACCTCTCTACTCGTTTGGGACCCCTCTATTCGTTTGGGACCCCTGTAACGTAAAGCAGTTGCTCAAAACTTCAGTTCAAAAGAAATAAAATGAAGTTTGGTGGAAAATTTATGGAAACAACGACATTAAAGTTCGTAGCTCAAGACTGCTGCAAAATGATCAAATTAAATGCATCTTGAGTTGTGTCTTGTTCGTAGGCGGATCTAGGGTTTTCTCGAGGGGAGAAGAGTTTCATTGTTTAACAATTGCCCAACAGTGGCTTTTTTACTTGTGCAAAATGTGAGCTTTGACCGTGGTGTTTGAATTTTCTATCAGTTCATGCTGTAGTAAGAGTCATGTCTGACTTGGAATTCGGAGATGAAGTGAATCTGAATGGCAGTGGAGCAGAGGGTGGTGGTAGTGGCAGTGGAGATGGTGGGCTCAATCCCAATGAGGGAGTGAGTGTGAATCTAGACAGTGATGATGAGCTTTTCCCGGCTGCTGCTTCTGCTGTCGCCAAACCACTAGCACCTGTAAGTAATGACTTTTAATTCAATTTACTAATTAGTTATCTGCTCTGTTTTTAATCAACTCGCTGTTATGATTGAATGCTGTCAAACTTCTGTTTTTATAGTTATGCTGTGTTTTCTTTTTCATAATAAGAAACTGATCATTTTAATTTATTCTATCGATAAGACAGCATTCATATTAAAAGTATGAATCAAAAGTTTTCCATTGTTTAATACTGCGACTAGTATTCTTTGATACTAATTGTTTTGGTGTATGCAATTTTAAATTGCAGTTAAGTTAAATTTCAAACTACCCCAGTTACACAGTTATTTTCTGTTTTCAGGCTTCGACAGACAAAACTGCAAAAGGTTAGCTGAGTTCATTTTATATTGATGCATATTCATTTCACTTAGAATTAACAATTAAAAGTTGCGACTCTTTAAAAAACGTTATTCACCGATTTTTGTGATTTCGCCATTTTTCGTGTTGGAGCTTTTGCTGATCTGGATGCACCAATGGGTGACAACGCGCCATCTAACACTGTTAAAACATATGAGGCTGCTTCTGTGATGCCTACTGTCTCCGGAATTGCAGGGGCTTCCGAGTCTCCCACGCCGTTCTCTGTTTATTCCGCACCTGCTAGAAAACCAACAGAATCTGCGCAGGTAATTATAGATCTATTGTGTAAGTTTCAAAAAGCATGCGTGCTAGGTGTTCATTTTTAAATCTTAACTATAAAAAATGATAAATTTTGAGCAGAAGGTGGCAATGATCATTAAAAATAGACTAACGAGAGTCTTTTCTATTATAACTTGAATCTTGTATGTGAATTTTAAACATTGTTTTGGTTGTTTTTCGATATCAGTCAGTCTATTTCATTTCCTAAACAACGCAATTATTAACAAGCTTCTCTTTTCTGATATTTCTTTCATGGTTGGTTTTTATTGTTTTTAAGAGTCAATGAACGTAGTGAAGTCGTTTTAAGCTGTCAGAATAATTTGAAAAATAAACATGACTCGAAACATGCAGAAAATTGAGGAAAACGAAACAAAATTTAATTTGGCAGAACCAATCTGAAGTAAACACGTTGCTAAAACAATTTTCAAGATTTTTTGACGTTTGAAGCATTCCGCAAACAACTCTTGTTTCTCAAGCGCGAGTAATTTGCAGGATGCAACTCTAAGAATTTTTTGTGTTTTTTAGGTCAAAGCGTTGTACTTGCTTACTATAGTTTTGAATAGCTTGTGTGAAAACTGTTCAGTCTATCTAAATCAGTTTGAAATGTTTCAAAACTGCATTTGAAATATTTTCAGTTTCGAACCCTTTTAAGCAATCAAAATCAAATTAAAATGATTCAAGTTTTCTTTCATCGATTTGCTTGCTTGAAAAATTTGGTCGCAATTTGCTTCAAGCTATCAGAAATATTTGCAATATTTCAAAATCTAAAGTCCAGAAAAAATTGAGCTCCTGATGCATTTCCAAACTTAAAAAAATCAGCGATCAGAATTTCATCTCCGGTCTGTTTTAGACAATATAAATAGGAAAATACAATATCAAGAACATTTTAATGTAACAAAATACCATCTAAATATTGGAAGTTTCAAATGGATGGTGTATTCGGCTCGTCAATTCTTTCTTGGAGCTTTTTCGAATTTGGAGCTTTTTTAGAGACCGTTACCCGGTTTAGAATTTATTGTTTTGTGTACTGAAATAAACACGAATATATTTTTCGTGAGCACCGAAAAAGCCGTCTTCAATACTTCCGATAACATGAATAAGAGAACTAGTTTTTTTAATCGGTATGATAATTGAGGTTAATAATGACACTGAAGATTAACGAAGTCTGTGTCCACGTCAAACCACTCCAAAAAACTTTGCGAGTTTTGCGGGAGTTAGGGAATCAAAATGTTGCCTTAGTGCAATTCGACCTAAGTTTGCTTGGCCGAGAAAAATTCTTAATCATTTCGCTTGATAGCAGTATCCTAACCATTGAAGAAGAAGATTTATTTCTCAAGAGTTATGAATACAAATATGTAACGATATACACAATTCATAACTCTGAGAGGACAGCCTGGGAACGCAATTGGATTTCAGATGACTGCCCTATAGCACTAACTTGTTTGTAGGACAATGATTATAACAAAATTTAGAGTGCAAATATTACAATCAATAGAATAGAACAAAACCTCAATTTCAAGTCATCAGAATTTTAATTGGAAGACAAGCAAATATCCATGGCAGCACAGAATAGGCGCCTTAAACCTTGATAAAGATTGAGGTCCTTTGGAATATTCCCATGATTGATTGTATTATAAATTGATTCACTTTTGCTCAAAAAATCAAAAGAAAAGTCATCTTCGGCAAACTCGCTTGCCGTTGGCCCCTGTAACCAGTTTATATAAATTTCTTGAACTTGTTCAATTAGCAGTTACTGCTTCTGCTAACTGTACTGTGGGCCTATAGCCTGCATTGCATAACACCGTAGCAAATGGATGGAGGCTTTTTGACACAGGACACCTAACTGAGCCCATGCGGCAGTGAACAAGTCCAAGAAGGACTTCAGTATGCGAAAAGCAAAACTGAATCACGAAACCAAGAAAGGTAATAGATTTACAAGGTGTGTTCAGTTCACTTAATTTTATTGATGAGTGTGTCAACCAAATATGAACTCAGATATTTTATAATTACCAGATATATTAAAAAGAAACATAAAAAGGTTTCTGATATCATTAACCACTTTTAAAAGCTGGATTTCACTTAAAAGTTGGATATCTATTGGTACTAAATTATTTTCTTGCAACAAATTCAACAGTTTAGATCCCCGATACTCAATTGAAAATTTCTGCACCGTAGTTCGAGCAAAGGGCATTTTCAACAGACCTTTTTTTAGATGTTCTGATATTTCGAATATATGTATTGTTTTCGAATATATTATTTAAGAAATTGCTTGTATGCATACTTGCTAGCGATCGCAATAAGATTTTCAACAATTCGTATATATACAGCTCGTGGACAGTTAAAATAATGGCACGTTCAAAGAGGATGCTAAATGAGTCTCGATTTCTCAAAAAATATTTCGAATGATTTTTTCTGCGTTTTCAGAATGTGTAGAAGTGAATTCTAGCAAGTACAACTATAAATATTAAAACACCGTATTGGATAATAGATTAATTATTTGAGTCGTAGTTTTGTAATAAAACACTCCTGGGGGCATAATGCCTGATTTTAGATATGATTCCGCATTGCTCACGCAGTTGAATATGCACAGTTTCAATGTGCTTACTGAAAGTGAGCCTAGAATCTAGAGTTATACCGAGATATTTGCATGAAGACTGTTCAGGGTTTAAATTAGAAGCGCTTTTGTTTAAAACAGTATTTTATGCGGTTTTTTTGAAATTTAACCACGTCGACACCTTTGCTAAATCCTCATTCAATTTTTCGATGGTTCAGGTTAAGCCCCCTGTTCTGAGCATATTTGAACTGAGTTTATTTGCATTTAACCATTTCGACACCTTTGCTAAATCCTCATTCATTTTTTCGATGTTACAGGTTAAGATTGCACATTATGACGGCTAAAAAATGGCACCCGTTTTTTGGCCATTCGTTCATTATAAAAGGTTGATTCGCTCAACTACTGATGTTATCAAAAACAACTTGACAAGTTTTCTAGCTGAATAGTTTCAAAAGTTTGCTTGCAATACTTCTTCGTTTTCAATCTGCTTGAAGTGTCAAAACAACTTGAAATATTTCAAATTTTATCCTTTGTTGTTTGCTTGCATTGTTTTAACTTTTTGCGAATCATTTCTACAAGAAAAAATTTAAGCTTTTCAACAATGCATCATTTGACATACCTGTTTTTAAAATTTTTAATAAGTTTCACGAAATGCTGCAAGCTATCCAAACTAATTAAAAGAGCCTTCGAAGAGCTTGCTTTTGAAACTAACTGGTTGCGCATAGGTTCAATCGATCAAAAGAAATATGTTTCTAAGTTTCAATCCTTGGTTAGCCAGCTTGAATAGCCTCAATTTTTGTTGCGCACATCAAGTCATCGAACAAAAATTGAACGGAGAGATAAGTTGGGAGATGATGAGATGTTCCAGCCTGTTAATCATTTAAATTGAGCTAAAATAGTAAAATATATTTTTTTATCATATTACAGCAGTAATTGTTAATTGAACTCTAATTTTTAGAATGCAGGAGACGGGACTTTTATCATCGTTTCGATCAGTGATTCCATGAAAGTCGGTGAGTTGTTGCTTCAACATTCCTTTGAAAGTCAAAAAATATTTACAGTGAAACCTTCTACGATCTTGATTCGATTTGATCTACAACCGATTGTTGATGAAATTGAGCCATCTCCATATGCGAATATTTTCAGGTGATGGTGTGAATGCCTACATGCGTTTCAAAGTATCCACACGTACTAACTTGACCTACTTCAAATCCAGTCAATTCTCAGTTTTCCGCAGATTCAGCGACTTCCTGGGACTGCACGAGAAACTGGTAGCCAAACACATTAGTTACGGAAGGATAGTGCCCCCTCCCCCAGAAAAGAACATGAGTGGAATGACTAAAGTTAAAATGGGAAAAGAGGAGTCGTCATCGGGCTCAGAGTTCATCCAAAGAAGAATGGCTGCTCTGGAGAGATTTATAAACAGATGCCTTGACCATCCGAATTTGAGGAACGACCCAGATATGAGAGATTTCCTAGAGCGAGAAGAGGTAGTAGATTTTGCTAGTATTTTTCATCAAATATTAGTGAAGAGATGAAACTCGTAAAACATAACGACTTCACAAACTACTCCTGATGAGATATGACACAAACTTGCAGAAGCGGCTGTTAAGGAGCCCTGTTTTATTTTATTTTTTTTTCTTCAAAAAATGGTTTTCTCTGAAATAAGTTACTGATCTTTCTTCGATTTAGCTGCCTAAAGCATCGCACACATCAGCGTTGAGTGGTAAAAGCCTGATGAAAAGATTCAGCTCAGTAGTAGAAACAGCCACCGCTAAACCCACAAAGATTCCAAATGACCCGGACCAGGTAAATCCCGAAATTAGCTTACGATTAGCTCATATCGTAGTAACCCACGTTTTTCTGTATTTTTATTTATGTGTTTAGTGGTTTGAGATGAAACTGGTGCATGTGGAGAACCTGGAGAACCAACTGAACAAGTTGGCTGTGAACATCGAGGGACTCGTGCAGACCCGACAACGTATGCTATGTACCATTGCATTAGCTTAAGCCAATATCTGATTGTTTTTATCAATGCAGTTAATGCAAGAAACAAGACAGAAAAAACAGAGCCATCGCAAAGTTCGTTTTTAAAGTAATGAAATTAGTGAGTACTCTTATATAGGTCATGGTTTTTTGTTTCTTTTTTCATGCTAAATATTGATTTTTTTGCGGTTTGGCTTTTGATTTTCTGTTAAATTAAGTTCATTTCATTTGTTGAACAGAAGGTAAACTTAACTTATCGAAAAGCAAAAGTGTTAAGGTCTCAGAGAAAGTGATCGAATTCAAGTTTAGAAAGTCGATTTCAATTTCAGATTTCCCAGCTTCAGATTCAGTTACATTTATCAAAAAATTGCCAACCATAAATCTTAGTCGGAATGTGCTATGGACGCAATGTTTAACTGAACACAATGCTTAAGAATTATTAGAAGACAATGTTTAAAAGGCTATCAAGCGTAACGTTTAAGAACCATTCAGACCAACCATCAGAGGAAGATGAACTCGATCCAACTTCAAGGCTAGACAGTACCTGCCTAATTTTTGTCCAACTGTCTGGAACTGGGATTGTCAAAATTTCAGTCTGGAACGAATGATGTGAAAACAGCAACCTCTATGCTGAGAAAGAAATTTGTTGCGAACCGATTCGTTCTATGAAATAAATGGAAATATTTCAGAGGTTCATGGCTTGACTAGCTTTCTTAAAAAACCTAAACTTTTTGCGAACCGATGCAGTCTATGAAAGAACTTGAAATATTTCGGAGTCTCATAGCTTGATTAGCTTGCTTCCAAAAACTTAAGCTTTTGCGAACCGATTCAGTACTTGGAAAAACTTGAAATAATTCAAAGTTCCTTAGCATTAAATGCTTGCTTAGAAAAACTGAAATTGCTTGCTTAAATATTTGCTTAGAAAAACTTAAACTTTTCGGGAACGGATTCGGTCCAAGAAATAAGTAGTCCTCTCAAAATTTCTAGTCTTAAAAGCTTGCTCAGAAACAATTAAAATTTTTGCGAACCGATTCAGTGTGTGAAGTAACTTGATAAAATTTCAACGTTTCATAGCTTAAAATTCTTGCTTAAAAAAACTTAAATTTCTCGCGAACCGATTCAATCTATGAAATAGTTTGAAATAATCCAAAGTTTCAGCTTTAAAAGGTTGCTTAGAAAAACTGAAGTTTTCGCGAACTGATTTGTTCCAAGAAATAACTTGAAATATTTAAAGTTTCGTAGCTTTAACAGCTTGCTTAAAAAAACATTTTTTTCACGAAGCGAAGTTTCATAGCTTGATTAGCTTACTTCAGAAAACTTAAAGCTTTTCGTGATCCGTTTCAGTCTATGAAATAACACGAACAAATTCAGATTTTATTAGCTTGATTAGCTTGCTTTGAAAACTTTTAAGCTTTTCGCATATTGCTCGAATCATGGAAGAAATTTTTCAAATTTGCATAGCTCCATAAGCTTTCCCAGAAACACTTTGAAAAGTTTCCGGGTTAAATTATAGACTGAACAGGTGACAAAAAGTTTAAGTGTCGCAGTTAACAAAGCTTTGAATAGCTTCAAAGTTTCGAATAACTTGCTTGAACATGTTTTAAGTGATCCGCGTTGTTTCATTCAATATCTCGTTTTTTTTTCAAAGGATCATAGCTTTAAAAGCATTCTATTTGGTCCAAGAAATAACTGGAGTCTTCTCAAAATTTTAAGTCTGAAAATCTTGCTTAGAAAAATTTAAATTTTTTGCGAATCGATTCAGTGTATGAAGTAACTTGAAAAAATTTCCACGTTTCATAGCTTAAAAGTCTTGCTCAGAAAAACTTAAGTTTACTGCGCACCGGTTCAATCTATGAAATAGTTTGAAATAATCCAAAAGTTCATAGCTTTAAAAGCTTGCTTGGAAAAACTGAAACTTTTCGCGAACTGATTCGTTCCAAGAAATGACTTAAAATATTTCAAAGTTTCGTAGCTTTAACAGCTTGCTTAGAAAAATAATTTTTTCACGAAGCGAAGTTTCATAGCTTGATTAGCTTACCTCAAAAAACCTAAAGCTTTTCGTGATCCGTTTCAGTCTATGAAATAACTTTTAATAATTCAAAATTTCAAAGCTTTTAAAGCTTCCTTGTAAAACTTCAAAGTTTTCGCGAACCGTCTTAGTCCACGAAATAACCTGCATTTTTTCAAAGTTTCATAGCGTGATTAGCTTGCTTCGAAAAAAAATTTCGCGAATTGATTCGATTTTTGAAATAACTTGAAATAACACGAACAAATTCAGATTTTATTAGCTTGATTAGCTTGCTTTGAAAACTTTTAAGCTTTTCGCATATTGCTCGAATCATGGAAGAAATTTTTCAAATTTGCATAGCTCCATAAGCTTTCCCAGAAACACTTTGAAAAGTTTCCGGGTTGAATTATAGACTGAACAGGTGACAAAAAGTTTAAGTGTCGCAGTTAACAAAGCTTTGAATAGCTTCAAAGTTTCGAATAACTTGCTTGAACATGTTTTAAGTGATCCGCGTTGTTTCATTCAATATCTCGTTTTTTTTTCAAAGGATCATAGCTTTAAAAGCATTCTATTTGGTCCAAGAAATAACTGGAGTCTTCTCAAAATTTTAAGTCTGAAAAGCTTGCTTAGAAAAATTTAAATTTTTTGCGAATCGATTCAGTGTATGAAGTAACTTGATAAAATTTCCACGTTTCATAGCTTAAAAGTCTTGCTCAGAAAAACTTAAGTTTACTGCGCACCGGTTCAATCTATGAAATAGTTTGAAATAATCCAAAAGTTCATAGCTTTAAAAGCTTGCTTGGAAAAACTGAAACTTTTCGCGAACTGATTCGTTCCAAGAAATGACTTAAAATATTTCAAAGTTTCGTAGCTTTAACAGCTTGCTTAGAAAAATAATTTTTTCACGAAGCGAAGTTTCAAAGTTTCATAGCTTGATTAGCTTACCTCAAAAAACCTAAAGCTTTTCGTGATCCGTTTCAGTCTATGAAATAACTTTTAATAATTCAAAATTTCAAAGCTTTTAAAGCTTCCTTGTAAAACTTCAAAGTTTTCGCGAACCGTCTTAGTCCACGAAATAACCTGCATTTTTTCAAAGTTTCATAGCGTGATTAGCTTGCTTCGAAAAAAAATTTCGCGAATTGATTCGATTTTTGAAATAACTTGAAGTATTTCAAAATTTCAGTTTCAATAGCTTGCTTTGAAAAACTGAAACTGCTTGCTTAAATGCTTGCTTAGAGAAACTTAAATGTTTCGGGAATGGATTCGGTCCAAGAAATAAGTGGAGTCATTTGAAATTTTCTTGTCCTAATAGCTTGCTCAGAAAAAATTAGATTTTTCGCGAACCGATTCAGTGTGTGAAGTAACTTGATAAAATTTCAACGTTTCATAGCTTAAAACTCTTGCTTAGAAAATTTCAAATTTCACGAGCACCGATTCAATCTATGAAATTGTTTGAAATAATCCAAAGTTTCAGCTTTAAAAGCTTGCTTAGAAAAACTGAAATTTTTCGCGAACTGATTCGTTCCAAGAAATGACTTGAAATATTTCAAAGTTTCGTAGCTTTAACAGCTTGCTTAGAAAACTAATTTTTTCACGAAGCGAAGTTTCAAAGTTTCTTAGCTTGATTAGCTTACCTCAAAAAACTTAAAGCTTTTCGTGATCCGTTTCAGTCTATGAAATAACTTGTAATAATTCAAAATTTCCTTGCTTTTAAAGCTTCCTTGTAAAACTTCAAAGTTGTCGCGAACCGTCTTTGTTCACGAAATAACCTGCATTTTTTCAAAGTTTCATAGCTTGATTAGCTTGCTTCGAAAAACTTGAAGCTTTTTGCGAACTGATTCACTCTATGAATTATCTTGCAATTTTTCAATGTTTCATAGCTTTAAACCTTGCTTAGAAATTGATTCGGTCTACGAAATAACGTGAAAGAATTCAGATTTTAATAGCTTGATTAGCTTGCTTTGAAAACTTTTAAGCTTTTCGCGTATTGCTCGAATCATGGAAAAAATTTTTCAAATTTGCATAGCTCTATAAGCTTTCCCAGAAACACTTTGAAAAATTTCCGGGTTAAATTATAGACTGAACAGGTGGCAAAAAGTTTAAGTGTCGCAGTTAACAAAGTTTTGAATAGCTTCAAAGTTTCGAATAACTTGCTTGAACATGTTTTAAGTGATCCGCTTTGTTTCATTCAATATCTCTCATTTTTTTTCAAAGGATCATAGCTTTAAAAGCATGCTATTTGGTCCAAGAAATAACTGGAGTCTTCTCAAAATTTTAAGTCTGAAAAGCTTGCTTAGAAAAATTTTAATTTTTTGCGAATCGATTCAGTGTATGAAGTAACTTTATAAAATTTCAACGTTTCATAGCTTAAAAGTCTTGCTTAGAAAAACTTAAATTTTTTGCGCACCGATTCAATCTATGAAATAGTTTGAAATAATCCAAACGTTCATAGCTGTAAAAGCATGCTTAGGAAAGCTGAAACTTTTCGCAAACTGATTTGGTCCAAGAAATAACTGGAGTCTTTTCAAAATTTTTAGTCTAAAAAGCTTGCTTAGAAAAATTTAAATTTTTGGCGAACCGATTCAGTGTATGAAGTAACTTGAAAAAAATTCCACGTTTCATAGCTTAAAAGTCTTGCTTAGAAAAACTTAAGTTTTTTGCTCACCGATTCAATCTATGAAATAGTTTGAAATAATCCAAAATTTCAGCTTTAAAAGCTTGCTTAGAAAAACTGAAACTTTTCGCGAACTGATTCGTTCCAACAAATGACTTAAAATTTTTCAAAGTTTCGCAGCTTTAACAGCTTGATTAGAAAAACAATTTTTTCACGAAGCTTGATTAGCTTACTTCAAAAATTTTAAAGCTTTTCGTGATCCGTTTCAGTCTATGAAATAACTTGTAATAATTCAAAATATCAAAGCATTTAAAGCTTCCTTGCAAAACTTCAAAGTTTTCGCGAACCGTTTTAGTCCACGAAATAACCTGCA